AAGGTGTCCCTGCCCATGGCAGGGGCGTTGGAACTAGATGGTCTTTAAGGTCCCTTCCCACCCAAACCATTCTATGATTCTGATTTTATAGTTAATATAGTTAGATATTATTCTGCAAGTGTCGGCATGTAAATATTTTCAGTTTAGCAATTCCCATCATGGAGATCCTGCTGGGATTTTCTGCAACATGACAGTGGAGGAGTTATTACAGCACAGCTTTTTGGTTCAGTGTCCAGACCCACGTACATACAAGTGTGGTGGGGGAAGTATTTTGGTAAATAATTTTGAGGTGCCCATCAGAGCAACCGGAGTTTCCAGTCTTATGGTCAGCCCTGCATAAACCTGATCTCACAAACACCAGGAGTTCTACAGAAATAACTGGTCAGGCACAAACTAATTGTCTGCAGGGGATCAGAATTTTCCTCTGAAACCTTCTGTGGGAAAGATGTGCTCCTGCAGACTTAACTGCTGTAACTTGTGACGTGACCACGTCCCCAGCCTCCTAACCTCGGCTTTAGTTCTCTGCAGCCGAGCTGTTGTGAATCACATGGGCACTCGTACTCGTCTCCGGTGCGGAGCGATGGTTTAAAGCCCCGTTGGGGGAGTAGCAGTCGCTGAGGTTCCCCAGCCAGGGAAGGCAGGTGAGGAGAGCGCGAGCGATCCGTTGCAGGCCATAGCAGCCTGCTGGAGGAGGTGACAGATGGCTGAGCTAACGTCCTCAGCCACCGCCGAGTGCGTAAATGTGCTCGGATAGTGAATGCACAGTCTAAAGCCAACAAAATGAGACTCCTTCACTCAGATGGGTCTACAGATATCATAGAAACGTGTCTCTTCGTTCTTTGGCGTCACCTGGAACACTATCTCCTTTACTGCACACCCGCTGACTCCCAAGACCCACTCCTTTCCTCCAGGATGTCATTTAGGAAAGGAAGGCTGCACGGTAAGATCCTTCAAAGTGCCTCTCAGCAACTTCTGATGGTTAACTTCATAACTGATTTGCTGCTATTAATATTTGTATTTAGTAAAAGAGATTCTGTTTGGAGCTGGCATACCTTTGGATTTTCCACTGGAGAACTGGCAATACCAATTATTGTAAAGTCATAGACTTGGGGTTTTTTTCTGTTACACGTAACGTCTGAAGTAAGGGAAGAGCAACCGGGTTTTTTAATTCCTCTTTTCAAGCCAAGTCAAGTTCAAATAATGCCATCGGATCAGCAAAACAATTCCTAGGAAAAATATTTCAGTGTAATAATCTAAGAGGGGATGATGAACTAAAATTAATATTGGTGGCTTAACCAGCATTTTTAGAATGGTGGGCACCAGTGTTTCATGAGAAGATTTTAATTTAAAAAAAAAAAAAAAAAAAATTAGGAATGGAAGGATGATGGAAAGGGAGAGGTGATCTAGGGAGGAGCTTTTTGCTTAAAGTGCTGTGTTGCCTGATCGAAGTAATTTATGGCTCCTACTTTTAACATATTTTCTCTAAATAATGTAAGTAAAAAACTCGGTGTGATTTCTGATGCACAAGTCCACTGCCCAGTTCGGAACCCTGCGTTTTACACTCATTTTCTAACTCGATGCGAAGAGAGTGTGGAGCAGCCAACGCAATTTTAACATTTCCTTTTTTATCACCAGATTCCTTTGGTTCAGAGCCTAACTTGGATTTCAGCAGCGGGCTGAATCGGGTGAGCCAGCATGACATAGAACAGGTGAGACGTCAGCGTCTACTGGGAAGTATGGAATGCGCCGGATTACGTACCCTGTGAGCAGTCTAACTGTAGTTTTCCCGCCTCTGAACAACCTGTGGCAACACCAACAGGATACACCTTAACTTCGGATGAGTGAAATGTGGCAGAATTCTTCCGGGGGTCATTACGAGGCAGGTAGCAGTTGTGTGCCTGCGCACACGTTTTCCAGTCAGTGTGTAGGAAGTGAAGTGAAAAATGGGCTGGACTTGCAAAAAGCCGGCGGTCGTTATTTGTTTCTTGCAGGCCAGTCACGTGGTACGTGGTTTTTAGTGACAGCCAAAACCATGGGTTGTCCATGACAGACTCGTCACAGGAGGGCAGGATTCCCAGTTGTGTGATCGCACAGGTGTTTGCTGCAGGCCAGCTGGTAGGGAAAGGGTAACGGAAAGTGGGGAGACTAAGATACGGGAATGCTAGCAAAGAACTGGTTTCTGCTCGCACAGCGATTTAATAGTTGGTGTGAATCTGATGCAGAGGTGGCAGAAAAAGATCATTTTTTATTAAAAAATCCCACTGACATTCCTACTGCTGTTTGTGCTCAAAAACATGTGCAGGCTCGGGTACCCCTATAAGGTCTAGAATCACAAGAACAGTTGTGCGTGTGTTTGGTGACGAGGGGTCTGCATTCTATTTCATTTGTTCAGTAGTAAAATATACAGTAACGTCTTGCTGAAATACTTAGAAAGTAGTTCGTTTTTTTCAGGCATGGTTTACTCATGTATTAATGATAAACTGTTGTCCGTGCACATAGACTCCAACTCCTCAACAGTCCTTAAAGGACTAGGAAGATTGTAGTTGGAAGAAGCATTTGTATTACTGTAACTGGAGAAGCTGAATTGCGTAAGATTATTTAATTCCAAAACCAGGAATTTAATTCCCAAGGCTTTGAGAGGTTGTAAGGTGGTAACATGTGGATAATCTGTCAATCCTCGGCATCGCCCAACAACCTCCGCAGGAAGGCTGTCCATGATACAATTCAGGGGGAAAAACCTAAGGGAAGAATGCAGGTAGGACTTAGTGGGGGAGTTGGAAAACCCACACTTTGGAAACCAGCTCAGAGACTACATCACAGCGAAAGGGTTGACAGGTAGTTAAGGATTTTGTATTGCTGACTGCAACAACTCTGTTTCTCAGCTGCAGATTGAGGCCGCGAACAGCTTTGGCGAGTCCCTGCAGAAGAAGCTTCTGGACATCGAAGGGTTATACTCTAAGGTTCGGTCACGATACACCTTCATTCAAGCTCTTGTTAGACGCATCCGTGGTCTCCTGAGGATATCAAGGACCTGAAAGACTCTGACACACGTTGCTTGTCCCCGGAAGCAGCGCGCTAGGGTGGGCCTTCTGCATCATCAGATTTTATAGATCACGTTTTCTAAATAATGTCAAAAATATTTTGTTACTTTCTTTTTTTCTTATCCCTATGGATCAGTTTTCTGTATTCTTTCCTACCTCTTCCAACCTGACAGGAAAAATAAAGGATTGTTTTTAACTGTTTTTTTTTTAATGAATTCTGGTGGAGGACATGAGGGAAAGAAGAGCTCTGCAGCTGTGAAGCTCTTACACTTATGGACGCTTTCGGGGAAACCGAAGACGTGTCTCTCTGTTGTTGCTTCGCACGTGGGTTTGATGAAAACACGGTGTTGGTGTTTCAGCACTTGCAGGCTGTGGATTCTGTGTGAAAGGGGATCATTTTTCACCATGAACTGCTTGTTTCTGCTCCCTCTCGTCCTGCTTCTCTTCCGCTGGCAGAAGCACGAGCTGCTTCTCTTCGGGCAAGCCTAGGTAAGGGAAAAATAACGTGGGGAAAGCCCCGGAAGGCGGCTGCCCTAGGTGTGGTGTTTACGGCTTGGGGGGAGGGTGTGAAGTTTTCTGAGCTGTTCTTCCTGAACAGGAGTAGAAAGACGGAATGAGACGCAGGAGGAGGCGGCAGCCAAGGTGCGTGAGCGGTAGGTTGGTTGTGTGGTTACGGGTTGCTCTCAGAAGAGACACCTGCAGCTCGGTGTCCCTCGTGTGAAAAGCCAAGCCAGCCAACCCCGGTCGCTGGCCTGAGATCGGTTCATTTCTCTCCTGCTACAGTCTGGGCCTAAAAGCCCAGCTCTCCACGTGTGCCCGGTGAGTTCTGTCTGCCCTGGGCTGTCATGGCTTACGATCCCACATCTTGTATGTTCACATTCTATACGTACTTGTCTGCACAGATGCCGTACCGTCCTTCGTGCGACAGCCCGGCCCTCCGAGGCTGGGTGCTGCTGTTCCGCAGGTGCACCCGGGCAGCCGCGCTTCCCGCAGCCGCGCTTCGGTGTTCCCCACAAGGCTTTGAGAAGGCCGTAGCTTTGGAATTCTGCTGGCTCAGAGGGATTCCCTGCGGGTCAGGGAATGCCATCACGGTCACCAGCCGGATGCCGGTAACACGCCGCCCGCGGCGGTCGGTATCGGGCGGCGCCGGAGCGGTTCGC